AAATATATTCTATATTATTTATTAATCTTTTCTTTTATGTTAGCTACCGCCTTTCGTATAGCTAAGTCTTTTGATCAAAGCAAAGAGTGCTTAGTGAAAGCAATTGATTGTCATAAAAATAATCGATCTTGGTTTCATGCTGCAAAATGTTACGAACAGGTATAAAACTATTAAATATTTAAAGTGATTGGTTACTAATTCCTATTAATTTAAAGATAATTCTGATATTGAAAGAAAACAACAATTTACTCGAAATAGAAGAAAATGTAAATAAAGCATGCAATCTTTATCAGCAACATGGATCGCCAGAAGCTGCGGCAACCGCATTAGATAAAGCTGCTAAAATTGTAGAGCAAAAGCATCCTGAACTTGCTTTGACCTTTTATAAGCATGCTTTGGAAGTTGTAATGGTATTAAATGAAAACAATCTTTCATAATTATTGATCATATTCTAACGCTTGTTGATTGATAGTTAGACGACTCCACACGACATGCTGCTGAGTATGCATCAAAGATTTCACGAATTTTGGTAAAATTAAATAAGTAAGTTTTTTTAAACTTGATTTATACTCTTGAGGACGATCTTTTAATCAACTCAATAATAGATATGACCAGGCCGCAGATGCCATAAGAAGGGAAATTGGGTTAAATCAACAGACAGAGTCTTATGGTCAAATTGGTCGATTAGCTGTAGCCCTAGTTTTGGTTCAACTTGCTCGAGGAGATTTTGTTGCAGCGGAGAAAGCATTTAAGGAATGGGGTAATTGTTGTGATTCGGATGAAGTTCAAACATTAGAACTTCTTCTACAAGCATTTGATGATGAAGATCCAGAGTCTGCTAAACGAGCTTTAGCTGCTCCTTTTATACGACACATGGATGTTGAGTACAGTATTCTCGCTCGCGATATACCATTACCACATGGCTTAGCAACTACGTCAAAAGCCGACGTGATCAAGGATGCTGCACCTTCTTATATGTCTCCAAATACCGAGGTAAATTCAATACCATCGTTTTTAGTTTAATTTCTCAGGCTTAGATATACCTTTATTTACTTAATATCAATTATTTGGAGCAATTAGCTTTCTTGAAAAAGGCATTGAAAACTATGTATATTGATCGGTTATTAATGTTATGACTTTACTGTGCAATTGGTTTTAATTAACCAAAAGTTATTTTTTGATATATTTTTAGCAAGTGGACGCTTTATCAACAAAGCCTAGTGTACCTACCCATGATGAAGATGAAGAAGAGGAAGGATTGTGTTAGTCATTATTATTAACTAGTTTTATCGCAGAAGCTAATGTTTGTTTTGGTATTTAATAAGGTTAATAAAAGTTTACTCCCTTAAAGAAAATCATGTTTTTAAAATGTCCTAATTTATAAAGCGCACAGATTTATTCTTCCAACCGCCGTCTTAAAATTTATAAATGAGAGTTTAGGAATGAACATTTTAAAAAATATATTCATATATAACAACAACAACTACGAATATTAAGATTTAAAAAAAAAAACAATTGGCCAAACATTTGAAGTTTCAGAGAGCTGGCAACACATAAATTTGTTTTGACAGATGAAATTTTCGTTTTGTGTTTTTGTAGTAGAGTTAAATGTGTGACTTACAGTCGTCGTTTACGTCAAAATTTCCAACAGTGGGCAGGTCGATCCATAGATTTTAGGCTCTAAATCTGTGCGTCAGAAATTACATTAATAAAGAATTTTGGCGTTTAATGAAGTAAAATCAGTCAAAGAAATTAAATTTATATCATAAAAGTATGATAACAACAATAAGTTTATGAATTCACTGAATCTACCGCGCCTCGGGTTGTCGGCGGCAACGATGTGTATATACTGCCATGAAAATACGATATATGAGTAAAATAGAAAGATTCTGCATTTATACGCCTACTAGAGGACATTAGAGTAATTATTTAATTAATATCGAAAAAATATCTGACCATTCAATAAAATGAGTGCAATAAAAATATATTTTTGTTTTGTGAATAGAGCTATCATATATCAAAAAATCTGAGCATAAAAATACAAAGATGTGTGGTTTAGAAAATTTTATACATCTGCATGAAACACTACATTCATCGCCGCTATGTAAATTGTTTTGTTATCTATGTATGTAAAATGCAAAATATATCAAAGAGGGCATAAATGTACCTTTGCTGCATTTGTACAATGTAAATTAAGGCGTTTAAAAAAAACTGTGTGAAGTTGGATTCAAAAAAGCTAATAGAAATAAAATGCAAGCTAAAAAACGGTATATTTTGGTTTTTGTGTCTTGTGCATTTCTCGCATACTGTTATTTTGGTGGTTATCGACTCAAAAAAAGTGACAAGTCTCACCGCAATCTTCAAGTGGTAGATGCAGTAACGCGCGCTCGCCTCCTTGAAAAATTACCCAGTTATCAACCGAAGGAAAACGTTCATATGACATTTCGAATCGATAAAACAGACAATGCAAGTGAGCTAGGTGAAGATAAGCACAAATCCTCAAATGGCATAAATAAGGCGATTTCCTGCCGAATGGAAAGTTGTTTCGATTTTACAAAATGCTATGGAGAATTTTTAGTGTATGTGTATCCACCAGAGCCTTTGAACTCTTTGGGTGCTGCTCCTCCCGTATCAGCTAATTACCAAAAGATATTATCCGCAATACGCGAATCAAGATACTATACGTCCCAACCGGAGCGGGCGTGTTTATTTGTTTTGGCTATTGATACCTTGGATCGAGACTCTTTGTCGAATGACTACGTTCGTAATGTTCCATCAAGGCTAGCACGCTTGCAGCACTGGAATAATGGCAGAAACCATTTGATATTCAATTTGTATTCAGGAACGTGGCCCGATTATGCGGAGGACTCTCTGGGATTCGATCCAGGTGAAGCTATACTAGCAAAAGCTAGCATGAGTGTATTTCACATACGGCCAAATTTCGATATCAGCATTCCGCTATTCCATAAACAGTTTCCTTTACGTGCGGGCTCATCTGGATTAGTACAAACTAATAACTTTCCAGCAAACAAAAAATATTTACTAGCATTTAAAGGAAAAAGGTAAGTTAACGTGATAATACACAATAATAAATTATAATATATCCCAATAAATTGATTAATAATTTTTAATGTCGATTATATTGAACATATTTTAAGATTTGTCAGTAGTTTGGCCAGACTTAACTTTAATAGTATCTTTTAATGGGGTAGGATTTCCGAAATCTTATGATGAAATCCGGGTCAATTTCCGTGCGTAGAATTGCTTTAATAGTATCTATGTATATATAGTACTATCGTTAGTCGGATGTTATTGGCATATATGTACATATGTTATATGTTATATCTTTATATATAACAAGTAAGGAGGGTTAAKTTATTTTATACTTGTGCAAMTTGCAAATTCAAAACCAGAGAAATAGTTTAAGGTGTAAAGCCAATCATATAGAGTAGAGTGAGCCGCATGTTCGAAAATTCCGATATTAGTTATCTAGGTTTTAGGACAACTATTCGCTCAAATTTAACTATATTAGGCCCAAAGATACACTGTTATGGATAAGACTCGCTCTCTTATTCTTTTTGGGATAACTCACATATTGGCTAATATATGCGGTATAGAGTCAGCCGGAAGTTCGAAAACCTTTATATTAGGTATATGAGGGCTAAGGGAAGTATTGGTGTGATTCAACCCAAATTGTGCTATATRGAAAGTAGGTGTGGTTGTTGTTCGATTTCAAATTTTGTCGAAATGGGTTGGTCAAGTAATGTAAAGTAATTGGATTTCACGTAAATGTGAACGGTGTTACGCCCATCGTCCAATTTTCACACCGCCTTCCATAAAGATCTCTCATAYCACCTCGGTGGTAAAATTTAAAATATCTGGCATATTTAGTTTTTGATTTAGTAGTTTTTAACAGTACCGTTATATGGGAAGTGAGCGGCGTTATCCTCATCATTTATTTTCGCAACGTCGGTAGAAGTTCTTCTAAGAACCCACAGGTGCCTCTTGTTGCTGCGTTCCTCTCTACAAAATTACTGCTTTATATCTTAAATTAGTGCTTAGTTATCACACTTTATATGTTTGCGGGTGATTGCGATTTGTGAGCGTGGCAGTGGTCCAATTACGCCCATTATGAACTCGAAATTTTTTTGTACCAAGGAATATACATAGCAAGTTTGATCGAGATATCTAACTTTTTACTCAAATTACAGCTTGCACGGACGGACGAATTTACTGACAGATAGTCAATCGGATTTCAATTTTTCATGTCAACCTAATTATTTACATAACATGTACATAKATATACATATGTATATATAATACAAATAACTGTTAGGTGAACAAAACTATTATACTCTGAAGCAACTGGTTGCAAGAGTATAAAAATTAGGTGTCACGTTGTTTGTCCGCGATTTACTATTGAACTGATGTTAAGAAAATTTAGCACACTCTGTCCAGTTCGAACCAACTTAGAAGATAGGATAGTAAAAATCATAAAAATTCATAAATTAATTATATTCAAAATTAAACCTCAATACAATCCCTTGGATTCTTATACCGACAAAAACGTTGTCACCTTTATTTGTAAATAAAATTTTCACTGAATTTAATAATAGTATAAAACAAGTAAGGAAGGGCTAAGTTCGGGTGTCACCGAACATTTTATACTCTCGCATTATAAAGTGATAATCGAGATTTCAGGCGTGGCTGTGAACCGATTTCACCCATATTTGGTACATGTCATCACGGTGTTAAGAAAATATTATATACCGAATTTCATTGAAATCGGTTGAGTACTTCCTGAGGTATGGTTTTTGGTCCATAAGTGGGCGACGCCACGCCCATTTTCAATTAAAAACAAAAAACCTGGATGCAGCTTCCTTCTGGCATATCTTCCGTAAAATTTAGTGTTTCTGACGTTTTATGTTAGTCGGTTAGCGTGGTTATTGTCCGTCTTCTTCCATTTTTGAACTGTATATGGAAATGCGTAAAAGAAACGACTCTATTCAGTTTGGTTGACATAGYTATAGTAGTTTTCGAGATATGTACAAAAAAGTTAGTAGGGGCCGGGGCCACGCCCACTTTTCCAAAAAAATTACGTCCAAATTTGCCCCTCCCTAGTGCGATCCTTTGTGCCAAATTTCATTTTAATATCTTTATTTACGGCTTAGTTATGACATTTTATAGGTTTCGGTAATACGTGTACCAAGTTTCATCATGATATCTCAATTTTTACTCAAGTTACAGCTTGCACGGACGGACGGACAGACGGACAGACGGACGGACGGACAGACAGACAGACATCCGGATTTCGACTCTACTCGTCACCCTGATCACTTTGGTATATATAACCCTATATCTGACTCTTTTAGTTTTAGGACTTACAAACAACGGTTATGTGGACAAAACTATATTACTTTCTTTAGCAACTTTGTTGCGAGAGTATAAAAATGAATACCACAGAAACGCGTGGCCGGTTCCACTAGTATGTACATACATGTTTTTTATAGTCAATGAACATAGTGTTGACAAAGGTTATCAATAAAGTGATCATCAAACTAACGAAATTGTACATATGTACGTTTGTATTTGTATATATGTATGTGTATGTGTATTTTTGAAAAAAAAAAACCTTATTTTTTATTTTTCTCCTATTAACAGAAGCATTTTTCATTTATTGTATATATTATTATATTATCTAAAACAATGCAGCAACCTTTAAACTAACATATTTTAACGCAGTTTCGGGTACAAATTAACTGCGTGTGCAAACCGTTATGTATACAAATTTTTGGTTGGTTTGGTACAATCTTTGTTATGTTTATAAAGATTGATCTCTATGTGTCAATTAGTGGGTGTTTGTCAGCTGTTTGTTTACGATGCAAACAGTTTGCCTTCAATCAATAAATTCTTGGCGTATTTCCCGAAGCGGACTTTTCAGTTTCCCAAACAGAAAAAAGTCACAAGGAGTACGTCACTATTCTGGCAATATGGTGGTTTTGAAATTTTTCTTGTTTTTCATTTGGTTTAAAATCTGTTACAATCGTTCTAGAATGCGACAGCATGAGTTGGTTTCTGTTCATAAATCCTGTCGTTTTCGTTAGTTTTACGGGTTTTGTTCATTTTGAGGCCAATCCCTGTCGTACCCGCATAAGGAGTCGCAATGTGGAGATTTGGCAAATGTTAAATAAACATAAGCAAACGAAATGGGTGCAGCGCTATAAATTCTGTAACCCCTCCATCGGAGTGAGTAAGCTTTGGACTCCTGTAAAGTCCTTTTCCAACGCGAGCGGATAGGATGAATATGCGTAGCGTATTTTAATCGGCAATATGCCCTGCACTGTTGAACTGCCAAGACCAAAAGACGTGTTACCCGATGACGGTACAAAATGCTAAAAGGCTGCGAGTCTCTTACTGTCACCGATGATTAGGTTAAAGATGTCATTGTCAAGATGGTAGTCTAAGTCCCTCAGCMCATATGACTTAAGCATTTTGATGCTAAAGTATCTAGTCTGAGTTTAGTAAACGCTTCCGGGTAAGAAACACAATGTTTTCGTAAAAATAATCCTTGCATTCATCTGCTTGGAGCAAAACCGCATCCTAGAAGTTTAAAGAGGTCATTCCTTGACTATGTGACCATATTATTGACAAAGTGGAGCTATTAACACCTTTACTGACTTTTTCCATGCAAATTCGTTCTGGCAAATGTAGCAGGTTTAATTAATATTTATGTAGAATCGGTCCCGTCCTATCAAATATATGCACTGCGTGCAATGAGTCCCCTCTTGACTATAATCTATGAAATAAAGTCATCTTTCAACAGTCCTTTCCCAATATCCGACCCTTTTGGAACAGCACGATTCCGGGCCACAAGATTTTGTTCAATTCAATTCAATTTGCGTATTGTTGCCTAAACATGGTCTAGCTAATCACTACAACAACAAAATTTATTTAATTATATTTGGTTTCTATTGCTAAGTAAATGAGTATTCATTGTGCATAACAGATGTGAGGAAAGATAAGAAATTAGGATGTACACAAACCTAAACCAATTCTTACGTAAAGATTTTGTCACCAAATTTAATAGATCCACGATTATGTTCTCGGTTACTTTGAAGTCTCGGTAATTCGAGCGTTTGTCTGACCTTAACTGCCGCAGAAGGTGGTGCTTTTCTCGATCTGCCTGTTGGAGGAGAGGTGACTTGCTCTTTGATATCTGTTGCTAATATTGGGTTTGTAGTAGTAGAAATTAATACTGAATGTCGCATTTCGCCATAGTTGCCAAATATTGGTAGCTTATCAGAAGGAAATTGAGATGTGGAGGTTGCAACCTCTGGTGGCCATTTTTCAGTTTTAACCCGGGAGGATAAACTGTGAAACCGACCTCTTAACTTGAAAGCGTCTCTAGGGTTACTAATATTGCTTGGAGTCCAATCGCCGTTAAGTTCTTCTGAGTTCTTCCGTTGTTTTGATCTCGTCAGTAGACCAGCACTTGCAGAATTCGTAGGGGGTAAGATTGTAGTCGTTTGTAACCGTTCCTGAAAACGCCTTAAGAAATTGGCTGGGTAGTTTGGTGGCTCCTCCGTCAAGGTACTTGGTGTGATCGTTGATACAAACTTATCTCTATACGCAGTGATAGTGGGTTGTATCAAAGAAAATTTGGATGGAGTAGTTAGAAGACTAATATGTGAACCTTGCATTAATGGTATTGCTATAGACTCTTCAGCAATATGTTCAGTGACTTCATAACCATTTGACTGTATTTTTTGGTTTTGGTAATCATGATCATTGTATTGATCTTGCTCTCCAACGGTCAATAACGTTTGATGAGAAATCTGTTTTTCTGGTTTAGGCAGACTTTCTGCCATAAAGCTGGTGTGTAGTGGACTTAGTGTATTTGGTTTGAGTGGGGAATTGGTAGAACCTACTTCACTAGTGTCAAAAACTGGCAACCAGGAATTTTGTTCATCTGTCATTTCTTGGGATGCCTGTAGTGAATATTTTTCATTCTCGGAAAGAAGATTTTGTTGATAAACATCGCCGCTTTTAACTGATAATTGTCCTTCTGCAATTAACTCTTGTTCCTTTTCCATCTTCTCCATTTGGTCACTATTGAGATACGCGGGCATTGTGCTTTTGTAGGAATTTACCGTTTTCGAGTCGGTAGTAATCGTTGGCTTCGTTATTATTTTAACAATTTTTTTGCTTGGTCGAATTTTGATAATTTTCATGGGTTTCTTTGTTGTGGGGTTATGGATGATGTATTTTACTCTGGTAGTTTCCGAGGGTAAATAATTAAATAGTTTATTTGTCAGCGCTGAGTGTCCGTTGGGCGCTAGATCGGACGTCATATGTTTTATGGAGTATGGCCTGGTGGCCATGTTGCCTACTAAGTTATCTAAGTGCATTTGTTTCCACATGAAGCGACGTTGTAGCCTGAAAACACATAACTGTAATCAATATTATGCAAGGATCATACATATATATATATTTAAGAAAGTATTTGCAAATTGTAGATTATTTACGCTGCTTCCTTGCCCTTGGCTATCCCGCGACAACTAAGTAAACAGAGGAGGTAAAGTATGTAACGTAGTTGTTTGTTATCCAATGTAGTCTCCCAAATAATATGCTGAGAATAAAAATTGCAAATCAATTAACATGATGTTTAGCAACATAAATAATTTACATACGAAACACTTGCAATTGTTTAAGAAATGAACCATTTTGTTTAATGCTCATGCACGAGCTGTTTGTGCTGTAACGATTTCTGCAAGATTAATTTGTAGTATGTTGTCTGCCATTCAATTTATAGAGTATTGCATATTTCAAAACTATTCAGTGTTGGCATTCATCAAGTCTGCGATGCAGTGCATGGTACAATCTTTCGAGGCAATAAACTGCAGTGAACTACGATTTAAAGGGGAATGCACGTTTACTTACACTGTTATGTGTTATTTACGTTCGATTGTGCATTTGCTTATGTGCTCGTATAAATGTTGTGAGTATTTAAATCGTGGAACAAGTCAGTTTGCGCTAGCTGAATATAATGAATCATAGAGTAAATTTTTCAATATTGTTTTTGTTTTTTTTACATCTCTTGGTTTCTTATCTTCCTTTTTCCGCATAACTTTTGTTATTAATTTGCTGATTTTTAACTTTCTTCTGCATCATACACATTTAATTCGGATGGTCGAATATTTAGGTGGCAGATTATTGCTATTTGCTTTCTCCTTCTCCTTTGCTTTCGTTTTTATTTTCTTTTTCATTTACTTATGTCTTTTTATATACATTGTATATTATGTACGAAATGATATGTTATGAGTTGTTAAAAAATTATGCTTGAATACCCGCGTATAGCGAGTTCGAATGCCGTCTCAAGTAAAATCTAAACTTGAGAGAAACTGCTTTTTTACGGGACGTTGCTTCAAATAAAAATGTATTATTTACATATTTTGAAAACAATATCTCCGCTAGATTTCTGGGCCAAAGAGTCGATTTATATCGTCATTAAACGAACTTCCCCCGTCAGTTTTATACGCATAATAAAATATTGTTTGTGTAAGTACGGAAATTGTTCTGCGATTGGGCAGTGCTACAAATTTTTTTTACTATTAGCCTTGATTTTAAAATATATGTATAAGTTATCAAGGTACTTACGTATATATACATATATATTTGAAGTCATTACCGTCCCTATACTACAGATATGTGCATGGAATTGGCTCTGAGACAAGAAACTCCTTGTTTCATTTACACAATGGCCGGGACATCATTTTGGTCACAACTTGTCGGCATGGCAAGAGTTGGAGGGAACTTCAGGACGGTCGATGTGATGAGGACAATCGTGAATATGACAAGTAAATTAAAAATACTAGTTATGTTTTTTTAATATTTTAATAATCTCAATATTGTGTTTTTCAAAAATTTCCAGATATGACTATGAGACATTATTACAAAACTCTACATTTTGTTTGGTACCACGTGGAAGACGTTTGGGATCGTTTCGGTAAGTCTCATTAAGTTCTTAATTGTATACCTCCACTAAGTTCATATTAAAAACGTCCTTCTTCTAAATAATACTTTTAATTTATTTATTTTCTAAAGGTTTCTAGAAGCACTCCAAGCGGGTTGTATTCCAGTTTTGTTATCGAATGGTTGGGTACTACCATTTGAGTCTAAAATTGATTGGAATGGTGCTGTGATTTGGGCAGATGAAAGATTGTTATTACAGGTGGGTTAAATTTGTAATGACACTTAATTTAAAAATAGAATTATCTGCCGATTTGCGAATTTTAATTAGAAAATTTGGGTTTAATTTTTTGACGGGTTTGTGTATTAAATGTTCAAATATTGGGATGTAAAAAAAATTTAATTCAAATATTAATTAATTATATCTGACTACTAGGGAGTAAGTATATAATATATTTTTTGTTTTTTGTCCAGTATACTTACTTACCACGTACTAATTTGCAATGTTAATTAGTTAATTATGTTTCGTTGCATACTTTCAGGTGCCAGAAGTCGTACGCTCTATTTCGTTGGAACGAATTTTGTCTTTGCGTCAGCAAACCCAAGTTCTTTGGGAACGATATTTTGGATCTATAGAAAAAATTGTGTTCACTACGTTTGAGGTGAGTCGCAAAAATAAAATATAATAATAATCCTCATCAATTTATTTCGAATTCATTCGTTTATATAATTTTAAACTATATTTTTATAACCTGGTTTTATTTTACCTAAGCACATAAATGAAGAATATCTTTATCTCAGAACAAAAAAACAAAAAAAAAAAAAAAAAAAAAAAAAAAAAAAAAAAAAAAAAAATTAAAATGCCTTTATAAATAACCCCGAAAAAAGAATTGCCAATGTAAATATTTTCCAATTACTTTTAGCAACCTTAACTTTTATACGATTCTTGGAAATTTTAAAGTGGCTTTACTTCATTTCGTTCTTTTAATACAAGAGTCTCGCAGATATAAATAACTTAAAAATTTTCAAWTGAAAAAATTTTGTTTATATCAGTTTAACCTTTTGAACCCCACCCTTTCCCAGACTCGCTTTGAATGCGCTTTTACAGCTGAAAAAGAGCTTGTTGGGCCGATGCAGTTATAGAATCTCATTCTCTAACTATTAGAGATCACACTTATCAGACACTTAACTTGATTTTATTTCATAATGTAAATTATATAAAATAGTTTCCCTTATATGTGAATTCAATTTGAATAGCTTAATGCCATGTTAATTCTACTCCGGATTTGTAAATAAAAGTCCATGCCTTGACCATATTTAAATGCATATTTAATGTAAATTTAAGTTGTAAATTACATTTGGKTTTGTACATTAGATTTGGTGAAAACGTATATGATGTCCCTAGTAGACATATTTAAGTAGTTCTGAGTTTATAACTTGTATTTTATGTTAAGCCTCGCACTGATAGTGGAAATAGAACTGTTGAAACTGTGTTGTGCTGAACTTAAATTCCGTACAAAGTCTTGGCTTAAAGTTTAGGATATGTTTAAATGCACATAAAAAACTTAAAAGTTTAATTAACTTTGTTTGTGCTAGTTTACCCTAAATAGATACATACATATATAGTATACTATGTATATATTACTGTAAATATATTTATCTGTAACACCTGCTGGGTTTTAAGATATTTTCATAGTTGCACTTTTAGAAAAGTAGTGAGAATAGGCTTCTTACGCCAGTTGAACCGACTCCTGAGCCGAGTGTGAAACCGCTGCCTGATGTGCGGTGTCTGGACGCGTGACTGGAAAGGTTTGAACGAACACGGTCGTAGCTGGCAACATCCTGAAAGTGAAATAATTTAAAAGTCGGTTAATTTTATTCCAAGTAATCAAATTAAAAATTTAGCTAATTTACTGGTCGATCAGAAACTCTAAATGTTGACAGTGGCTGCAGATGTGACACATGCTACAGGTGTTGTAAATCGACAAGATTCTCACCTCTTTGTCAGCGTTAGCTAGAACGCTGCGCATTGAATCAGCAACTGGCCATTTCTTCTTCATTACCAGATTTTGTGGTGGATCGTGTGCAGTGCCAGCATCCACTGACCAAATTGTGACTGTAGCACCAGCATTAATTTTCGCTCCTCGCGAAAATTTGAAAGCCAATTCCTCATCGCCGGCGATGCGAGTTAACTGCCAACCGGTTAAATGGATCTCATCGGTGCCTTTGTTGTGTAATTTAATGTAACGTCCTTCACTATCGGCGTCGACAATTTGCAAATCGCCTTTAGCGGCTGAATTAACAGAATATTCGGACAAATTGCGATCCTCCGATTCATCAATAACTGTGCGGCGACGTTTGACTGCACTAGCGCTGCCACCAGCACCCGGTGTTGCCGAGCGCCGACCGCTGGGTGTGACACGTCCTGAACGTGAGGTAGAGCTAACAGATAAATGAGTACCATTTGAGTATCCTGAGTCGGTGTTTGTGCTAGTTCCTGGACGATTGGGCGATGAAATGTTTAAACGGCGCTCCTCTCCGCACAAAAGTTTGTCATAAGCGGCAATTTCGAGATCCAGTGAGACTTTAATGTCCATTAAATCACGATACTCTTGCAATTGTTGTGCCATTTCGTCGCGCATGCGTTGCAGTTCGGCCTCTAGTGAAGATATATATTGATTATGGCGAGCACGCTCACTGTCTAGGAGGTTTTCTAGTTCACGTATGCGCGCCTAAAAATATGTAATTAAAAAAGTTACATAGGTTTTAACTACAGGTAATTAAATTCATATGTCTTACATTTAAGCCTGCATTGGTGTTCTCCAGATCTTGAAGCTTAGCATTAAGTCCGTCAATTTTCGTGCGCATAAGCCGAACTTCTTCAGTTGCGTGTGCCGAAGAGTTGGCTGCTCTATTTGCAGCTGCTTGGAGATTTTTGATTTCATTGTCGTACAGCAATTCAATTTCTTCGCGATTGGCGCGCATTTGGGCTTCATATTGGTCGCGCAACTCCTGAAGGGATTGTTGTAGTTTTGCTTCATACTGCTTGGATAAACGGCCGTCGATTTCACTGATTTCAATTTGACGACGCGAGCGTGTTTCGGTTAGTTCACGGCTGTGAACTTGATCTTTGAAACTAAGCTCTTCGCGAAGGCTTTGGTTCTGATTCTCCAAATCAACTCGAGCCAAAGTTTCAGCTTCAAACTGCTTGCGGAGATCTTCAAGTTGCTTACGCAGCTTTTCGTTTTCAATTAAGAGGTCTTTAGCTTGATCTTCGGCCTTCTTGCGATCAGCCAAAGCCTGGTTGTACTTACCGTTAACTTCATTGTAGCGAGATTCATATACACGCGCACTATTCTCAGCGATCGCGCATTCCTTTGTTTTTTTATCTAGCCTGTTTTTTTATTAAATAAAAACGAAATATATAGTATAAAAAACATTTTTCTCGAAAGCACATGCATAAGAGATAACAGAAGTAAATACAATAACACAAAATTTTGAAAAAGCGACTTAAAATATATCTGTATGTAACACGTGATATCAAACGAGTTTGAGGAGTACAACAAAATTAGTGAATTTGTCAAATGACATCATCGCTAATATTTTTTATATGAATATATGGCTCAAATGACTTTCTGGCCATTTCCCATTACATTCGCATTTAATACACGATTTTTAGTTAAATCAGAACTTATACATATACATATGATATTTTTTATACTTTTTAAATTTACTCTTATTTACGAATGTATAAATGTTGTATGTGATGTATGTATGTGTAATAACCAATAGAAAATTAATTTGATGTAAAGAAAATATTCTCGCTATGGCTTTTTAAGAACGTGTCTGCAAATTCCAAAAGTCTTACAAATCCGCATTGTATATAATACTTTAAAGAAAATCACTAAGCTCTAGTGGAAAACGTGAGCATTGCAATCAAACCAAAACTTATGGGAGACCGCGTTGTGTAGTACAATCGCGAAACGTGGAATGCGAGAGATTTTTCACATTATCGAAATGTATGAATTTCTAATACTTTAGCCCCAATGAGAATCTGTTAGCCGAGACTTTTTGAGCAATATGCATGAGCTCCATTAAAGGCCAGCACAGAGCGCAATTGGGGAAATATAATCAGAGAGAATAACCGACATATGGTGTGGATATACATACATATGTATATACATAGAGGTATATGTATTTAAATTCATACTAGGCTTTCTAGGTTTGTGTTTATTCAAGGTTGCTTTCGTGAAATTGTCACAAAAAAGCGAAAGAGTAATTTTTAGAAATACCTAAAAGCTATAGCTATTATTGCCATTCTTTTTTCGAGTCAATTATGCACGCGTTATTGTTGTTTTGTTTGCTCATTTTATGCTGGTACAGTTTGTGCTTATGCTCCATCGATTCGATTTAGTGCGGTTGTAATGATCTTTATTTTTGGCAAAATGACATCACGCATATCTCTATGCGCTGTTTCTTAGGGGGAGCCGACCTTCATGGCCACATAAGTTTTTTTTTAGTTTGATTTAGTATTCGAAGCGTCATTTTTTTATATATGTATGTATATGATGTTTATGAGAAACAAAAACAAAGACCAAACAAAAATAACAATGAATAATTAAGCCCTAAACGCGTTTGGCAAGTTTATTTGACAAACGTATGTATGTAATATGTAAACAACTAATACGTATTACTCTCATTTTGTTGTTGTATGTTTTTTCCAAATGCTATGTGAAGGTATGTGAATAGCCTGTTACCCTCTAACATATTTTCCTTTACTCTAAATGACATCATTCATTATCATATTGAGCTTGCTGCCATGTGTTGTTAAAGCGTAGAGCATAACAACTCGAGAAAGGCAACAAATCCACTATGACATCATTGATTAAAGTTTACATACATACTGATATACTTGCATTTAATGTTGACGCTTTAAAAAACCTTACTTTGAATAAGAGTACATACATACATACATATATACATAAGTATATATGTGAGTATTAAAGTAAGTAAGAAATACACAGCAAATGGTGACRTTTTCTGATTGATTGTAAATATTTTCTAGTTGTTTACCTTTGTTTGAGGTCATCATTTTCCTCCCATAACCGCTTGATGTCAATTTCTAGTTTAGCCTTTTCTTTGGAAGTTTCATCCAATAGCTTACGTGCTGCAGCCAGTTCTTTCTCATACATGGCTTTAATATTGGACACCTCGCGATTGACCGTGTCTTGGGCAATTTGTAGTTCCTGCGTTAATCGATTATTGTCATTCTCCAGGTTACGCATACGATCTATGTAGCAGGCTAGGCGATCGTTTAAATGTTGTAGTTCTTCCTTCTCCTGTATGCGAGTTGTGCGCGTAGGACTAGTGGCGCCCGGGCTCGTGGCCCCTAAACGTCCTGACTGCCCGCCCACTGGTGTGGAAGTCGAGGCGCGAGAAATCCGCGTAGACACTGAGACACGCTTTTGAGACATATTGTTTGTCTTTGTTTATTGTTTGCAATTACACAGGTAAACTATTTGTTTGTGTATATGCCCTGTACGGAGCGATATATAATCGTAGATTTCAGGCACTTGGTAAATATTTCAAGTTGGAACAAAGTGACTTGTTAAATGTATCCTATTATTTTAGCAGCTCTGCTTTGTTTGACTGGAAAAAATCAACTGAATCGAAATGTTGAACGTTCGCTTACAAATGGTGGTGGGCCAAAACAAAAAATGAAATCATCATCGACGGAATTAGGTGAGGCAAAAGCAAAAGCCTGAGAAAAGTAACCAGTGCGCACTCACGAGGTTTCATACAGCTCTCTTTGCACGAAAATCTTGTGTTCACTTTCTGTGCATATGTATGTATAAACTATGTATAAATGTTTGCGTTTTTACTGCTTTTGCTTTTGCACATTCATACAATATATAATATATACATATGTATGTATGTTAACAAATTACAATAACAATATTACAATAATAAGCTGAATGCCATGGCACTTTGAGCAGTCGACATAGCGGAGAGTAGAACAGTTGCGTATTATTGTAATGAGAATGAGTGGAGTTTTAGTCAACTCAGTACTACCCTACTATTTGTAATTATGTAAATATGTACATTCGGGAGTCTACACTTTCGTACAAAGAAAATGTGTATTCAAAACCGAATGAATTGTGAGGAGAAAAGCTGAATTAGTAATTTCTTTTTTATTGTAATGTAAACATTCGCCTACCTTATCTCTTGGTATGGTATCTGTTAACACCATTTCGGCGCAGCACCCGAGCAATATTAACGGTGTATGTAACTAATATCGGTAGGCTTTCCTCAGGCAATCGGTAGTTTAAAGTCTCTTTCAAGCGCTTGATGGGCTACCATCTTTCAACCCAACTATTGGTTACAGACTTAGCTGAATTTAAATACATACATATATGGATATGTGCGTACAGATGCACAACTGTTGACTACCACTTATAATTGTTATTACAAATTTAAAACTTTTAAATAGGCGCTTTTTCATACTTCGTATGAGCAATTTCGTTAAAATTAAATTATTTAGTTTATTTTATGCATATTTTTAGTTATATTTTATTATTTATTGCCTTCGTCTTATTCATCTCTTAACTTAACCACCTCGTACATTCATAAATGTGAACAATATTAATGGTATATCAATTAATCTTATTTTATTAGATTATCCGCGAGCGCTTACCAGATTATCCTGTTCGCAATACATTTATTTGGAATACATCGCCAGGTGCTCTCCTAACACTTCCAACGTTTGCTGACAGTTCCAGGTAAACTATAAAACATATTTAATTTGGTGGGACTGCCAATATAAAAGTACTTGACATAACTTTTTCTTTTAGGTATATGCCATTTTTATTGGATTCCATGGGCGTAGAACCCCGTCACAATTACACGGCTGTCATTTATGTACAAATTGGTTCGATTCTGGGCCCGAACACTGCGCTATACAAGTTAATCAAAACTATTTCAAAAAGTCAATTCGTAGATAGAGTAAGCTAGATATAAAAATGTCGAAATATGAGACAAGTAATCTGATTTTCCTAATTTGTAGATTTTGGTTCTCTGGGCGGCTGATCGTCCTATTCCATCTAAAAAGAGATGGCCTACGACTTACCATATACCATTCCATATAATAACTTTAAGTGGCTTAAGTATTGGTAAATCCTCTCGTAGTATGAAAAAAGATGTGAGCGAAAAGTTCTATAATAGTACTCTACTTTCCGGGGGAGTACCTATTAATCATCAAGATTCAAAAAATACCAGAGAGGAAACTTTAGATTTATTTGATGAACGCCCAAGCATATCACAACGTTTTTATCCATATCCCGAAATCCAAACAGATGCAGTGCTCTCATTAGACGAGGACTCTATACTCAATACAGATGAATTGGATTTTGCATATACAGTTTGGCGAGATTTTCCRGATCGTATTGTTGGTTATCCAGCTCGAGCTCACTTCTGGGATGATTCAAAGGTACTATCTTTTGTTTACTTGTTGTTTCGTGCAGTAAAAATTAACTTACTTAATTATTTTATAGAATGCGTGGGGATACACATCAAAGTGGACTAATTACTATTCCATAGTTTTGACTGGTGCAGCTTTCTATCATCGATACTATAATTACTTGTACACCAATTGGCTATCATTATTGCTTCTTAAGACTGTACAACAATCATCGAATTGTGAAGATATCCTAATGAATTTGCTTGTATCGCATGTAACGAGAAAACCACCGATAAAAGTGACTCAGCGCAAAGGCTATAAGGATCGTGAAACAGGACATTCTCCGTGGAATGATCCAGATCATTTCATTCAGCGGCAAAGTTGCCTCAATACATTCGCTGCAGTTTTTGGGTACACATGCACATATGAGTTATGAATGTAGCTCAGGTGAATATAATATTTTTTTGTTCTTTTGCAGATATATGCCGTTGATACGTTCAAATTTACGTCTTGATCCGGTATTGTATCGGGATCCGGTGTCCAATCTACGTAAGAAGTACCGCCAAATTGAGTTGGTTGGTAGCTAGCACTACATAAGCACAAGCTATAAAGTTAAGCTTAACTAATCTGTGTTTATCAACCACAAAAGTAAACTTAACTGTATTCAAAATACAAATGGATTGCTATAAAAGTAGTTTAAAGTCACAGATTTATAGATCAAATGTATTTATTGCAATAATAGACGTGCAGTTAAAGTTGTATAGCTTGCGAGATTTGAAAAAAAAAAAAATACATACCTTTACGTGAATGTTTACGTGCGAGTATGGATATGGTGTACCGAAAAAGTGTCACAACTATTTATATAAATTAGTAAGAAGTTATTTGTATGTAAAATGCCATTTACGATAAGTCACAGCCACAATAATTTAGATTCTGTAATTATAATTATAAGATGTTATAAGTTAACATATAATGATGTTGATGATGACATGACATGATGGTGATTACTTTAGGTCGCTATTTTTACAATATATAAAAACTGTAATAATTTATAATATTTAGTTAAATTTTTTAATATATGTATATATATAAATATATATATGTATGTATGTTTACAAAAGTGTATGCATATATGTATATGTATATACGAAAGTGTATAAATACATTTGACACTAATCACACTCGCTTAGGCTCATTTGTGTTAATATTTCCGATAAGCGACAAATTGAAAAAGGGACTTTAGTTATAATTTAATAAAATAATTGTTTATTATTGTATAAAAATATGACATGAAAATATTCATTTTTAACGCGAAAACTTAAATTCTCTTAAAAAGAGCTTAAACATGAACATGCCGAACTACAATAAATATATGTATATATACAAAAATCAAGTGAAAAGTGCAATGGTTTTGTTTAATATCCATAAATACACATATTCGCTCAATGTGCTGTTACGCAGGTATGTAAGAGTCTAATTTAAATTAAACATGTTGTTATCTACTAATATAGTTATACCAGCAGGACAAGAGCGGGGCTAATAAAATTAAAATACATATTTTTAAAATTTCCTAATTTAAAATATTATTTCACCCAATGAATGATTAAATATCGTTTGTTATGAAAAATGATTTATAATTATTTTAATTTTTCTCGGTTGACTAATTATATCTCTATAATCGACAAATATCACGGTTGAAAGACGTTACAAAAACGAGCGACAAGAATTTATTTCTGTACTTACTACAACTGCGCTAAAAACTTAGATGTTTTTGCGAAAGTTCATGTTACTCTGTACTTTGGAAATGCCGCTATTGCAGATTGGACCATTTTCGCACTTAGAAAGTAACGTTAATCTAAAAAACGTCACTATGATGAGTGACATCAGTTCTTAATTTTCTTTGAAAATGATCGTGGCCTAGTGAAACTTTGCATTTGGTAATGTCTAGCTATAATGTGTAAGTACTTCACACCTATAGTCCCTTATAATATACCGTTCTCTAACACTAGTTCGCGAATATTCTAACTTCCGCTGAAGTTTTATTCACCTTTTAGTTATACTATTTTGCAATGAAATAAAATGTTTTAAAGTATATATCCGTATACATATGTAATACATGCTTCTAATAATTATGTGCACAATAAATTTAGTAAGCACTTTCCATATTTACTTCATATGTTTTAACACCATAACAATGGGCACTCCAGTCACAAAAACTATAAAGCATCGAAAATTAATGTGAGTTTCATTTACCATATGTATCTAAGTATGACAATGATGGTGACATATTTTTATTCTGATTTAAATTATACGCTATTACATAGTAAGTATTTACTTTAATAGTATATACTTATGTACGCAGGTCATCTACGCTTATGGTCATTGCATTTGTTTTGTACAACTAATTGCTTTGGAAATACTATATGCGTATATAATTTCAGAACTTCATCCACCATCCATGAGCAGAAAGGGTTTTAGTATTCAAATACACTTTCGAGCTTAAACATACAAATTATTTTGTGCTCTTCATTTGCATAGGCATGCATATGTAATAATAATGTATGTATTATCATTGGATACACAAACTCGGCAATAGTTATTCAAAAAAAGGATAAGTTCATCAGCTTCAACATGCAATTTTTTAGGTTGTTGATTGCTTTGTTGTTATTGCAATTTTTGTCTACCAAAGGCCAGCGTATAAGCGTTTTACTGGACCAGGGGTCCATAACAGGGGTATGAATATTAAGCATTTGTATGCGAATTCGCTATTTACTATAATTTGCTGCTTTTGTGTTTACAGTTAAAGATATTTCCGGATACTTCACGAACCGCTGTTTACGCATTCCTCGGGGTGCCCTACGCGCAACCACCTGTTGGTGACCTACGCTTTGAGGTAAAGAACTATTTAGTCATTGGCAATATTTATTCGATATCAACCTTTATTTGTACAATATTTATTTTAGCACCATTAACTTGCGCACAAACGCATCTATTTTTACATGACACAAACCTTACCTACATACATATATTAATTGAAATTCCAGCATGCAAATGAGAAGTAGTGTAAACATATATGTATATGAGTGAGCGCTCAGACGAACACATACAGAAGTATATAATTCAGCACAAGCGATATTTGATCACCCCGTTTTATTATACCCTGAACGAAGTTTGTAACACCCAGATGGAAGCATCGGAGACCCTACAAAGTATATATATAAATGATCAGTATGTCGATCTGAGTTGATTTAGCCATGTTAGTCTGTCTGTCTAGAAATAATGCAATATCAGAAAAATTGTTCAGATCGGCTCACTATAGCATATACCTGTCATACAAGCCGAACGATCGGAATCAAGGGCTTGTGTGAAAAAGTTTCGCATTTGACGTCGTATCGTCACGAAATTTGGCATGGATTACTGCTTAGGGTAACAATATATTCTCCAAAAAAATTGTTCAGAACGGATTACTATAGCATATAGCTTCCATACAAACTGAACACACAGTTACTAACAGAAATGCAACTGTGAAGCTTATTTAGCTTCGGTGCAACCGAAGTTAACATTTTTTCTTGTTACTTTTTAATATTTATAGTTTTTTAGACATGCATATGAATATAACTGTGTATGTATGTATGCATTAGACTGTGAATCAAAGTGAATCGAAGCTGCTTCCGGTTGGCTATTTCCACTGTTTATTTACGGGTTGGACAATGGGCATGAAGCAGCTCAGTGAATTATGACATATTGGGTCGTTCACTAAGTAATTTCGTTTGATTACAACAACTGGCCTTATTGGAGCTTTTTCGCAGCCAACTTCACACTAACCGTTTTAACGTTATATATTTGAACAGCTGACATTGTAAGGCTTTTGTAAACAATTTTTTAAATAACTTGATCAGATTGGAGAATATATAATTATACTAGTTTAAATTGTAGTAAAAAAAAGCAATTAGTGAACGACCCAATATATGCGCCTACTCGAAACGCATGAGTTCAATTAAAAAGCATAATGAAAAAAATAAAATCACGAAGTGTGATTAATTATTGTATATTATTTTGCGAATTGAAAAGTGTGGAAAATATTAGTTTGACTGCTGTACATATGATTATAATATTGTGTTGTGATATTGTATTTGCGCGCTTTTTACATATATAGTCTTCTGTTTACGTATGATATAAAATGCTATAAATTTATTAAAATATTCTATTTTTAATTATATACAAAGCCTCCTTTGGCACATAGAGGCTGGAATCGTACTTTTCTGGCTATGAGTATGCGTCCGCTGTGCCCACAGCCATTGGACACAATCTATGATGAAGTAGCTGACGAAAGTCTTCCTCGCGAAACAATAATGGACGAAGATTGCTTATATTTAAATATTTGGGTTTCCGAGGTATGTAATTTAAATGTTCGTATACCCTTAAAAACTATCGATTTCCTCTCTAGTCGTGCTTAAAAAAATTTTTTGTTGGATATTTTTTGCTTTAAGACTGAAAATACTGGGAAGAAATCTGTGTTGGTACTTATAACTGGCGAGGAAATGATTTACGATTGGTCCCAAAATCGTGTGTCCGGCGTAGATCTTGCCTTGGAGGATATTGTCGTTGTTTCTATACAATACCGCAGCAATATTTTTGGATGGATTGCTATGGATAATGAAGTGTTGGCAGGAAATCTAGGCCTACAGGATCAACATCTGGCACTTCTTTGGATACAGAGAAATATCCAACACTTTGGAGGAGATCCCAACCATATAACATTATTAGGACATGGCACAAGTGGTGCGCCATGCGCCATGTCACATGCTGTCATGGGACGAACTGCTGAAGAGAATATTTTTTCTAAACTAATTATAATGTCCGGCGGCGATTTAGAGGCATCGCTAAGGTCTAGGCAAGATGTYATGAAAGCTTCCAAAGTCCTAGTGGAAAAATTAGGTTGCCAATTCGAAAAACCCAGTAGTCAACTGAGATATTGTCTAAGGCAAAAAAGCATTGGTGACTTGCTGAACGCCTTTGAAAGTATATACGATCATCGCAATGGCACACTTCATATTGGTCCCATCTTACCGGTTGCTTACGACGATTTATTAAAAAAYCGAACAATCTCACACTCTCTGGGTCCTATGCTCATTGGCATTACATCTAATGAAGGATCGTTTTTAGAGCAACGTTGGTTAAATTTAGCGCGCGAAAGCTATCAATCTATCCGTGACTATGTAGATTACACTGTGCTACCATGTATTTTACGAAATTTTGATGTGCAAATAAGGGATAAGATGAAATATGCAATAAACTGGTTCTATTTTAGTGGGGAGCCGAGTGAGAGTACAAAGCATTTTCTGTACGCATTGCAGCGCCTTATATCGGAGTATTTTTATGAATTGCCGTTCTACAGATTACTAAATCTATTAACTTCGAAAGACTATGGAATTGTTACGCCAGTGTTTGCATATGTTTTCGATGCTTCAAAATCTATGGATTTACGTGGGAAAATAAATTTATTCGGCGGCGCCCCCCATTCAGCCGATCTACTTTTGTTACTTGGACCCAGTGTATTTCAACAAGTAGCAAGAAGGCGTTTGTCGTTGGAAGAAAGCCGACTATCCCGACAATTTCGCAGTCATCTTATAACATTCATAAAAAGTAGAAGAGACACATATAGTTCAAGTTTCAAATCCAATGAATGGCTGCCCTATACAACTGAAAACCAATTCATATATAATTTTGGTAAGACAGATAAAGACATCCAGTTGGAAGCGAGTAGAAACTATTTGTCGGATTTTGAAAAAAATTCGTTTGAAATCGATAAATTGCTGCGCGATGATAGGGATGGCATTGATAATGTTTTTCTGAGAACAAGTAGGAATAACAGAGGTCGGAGTGATATTAACCAAGCAACAGTTTATGCGACAAATCAAACAAATTACGGTTATGTTTTACATTTGAAAAGGGTATACAACTTTTGGCAGATTTTTATACCATATATACATAACTATGGTGACCAAAGGTATTATGATGACAGTAATATTCCATTTGGCCAGCAAAATCTCTTAAAGGAAGCTGCTGCT